GGTGCTCCAAAGGGGCCCACCTACCCATCCTCCTTATCTGTATTTGAGCTCTTTGGTGCTTTTGCGCACGGAGCATACACCACCTGTGCAACGCTCCGCCGAGCAACTGGAGCATCGCAGGAGGTAAGGATGCATGTGCATGCAGCGTGTGTTTGTGTGGTGGACACCGGGCCCCATTGCACCGCACCAGTTGCACCGGGATCCAGAGCCCACCAATGGATGGAGGACAAACAATTTTCTAAAAGATGCAATAATAAACAGCGGGCAGCTTTTAAGCTTTTTTGTGGGCCCCAAAATAATAATGGCTAACCGATATCAGTCACAGAGCTTACCTGCGATCACTCCAGCAATATAGACAAATCCAATCCTTGTTGCACCATGAACCATTTCAAGGGGAACTCCAACCAGAAGCTGAAGGACTACATTGAGTCCAAGGTGTTCTATCCTGAGAAAACAGCACTGTTTATTTTTATTCAGTTTACATCATCATCATTATTTTTATTCCCCAAGGGATATTTTGTAAAAACATTATAAAAGCCTTTATATAACCCCCTTGATAAAATATTATTTAGTTTAAAAGACAATTTAAAAGCACTAGACTGCCTTGCATTCAAACAGACAGGGAATTCCCTCAGGGAATAGGGCGGCATATAAATAAAATAAACCTTCAAACCTTCAAAACCTTCAGACATGCTCCTTAATTTAAAATAATGTAATAATTACTGTTTAAGAAATCTGCTTTTGAACACTACTGATTAGGGCTACGTGTTTAACCACCAAACTCAATGAACCATAATTATTATATGTTAATCACAATTAATTTACTATTAATCAATCAGGCATGGTAATTAAGACCATGGACTGGTACAAATCTGAACTCGAATGAACTGGATAATTTCTGGCAATGCAAGGTACTATTTCCCGCTCTGCTGTCTCTCAGAGGGCAGAAATCTTTCACACCAAAGATGTCAAAATAACAAACAAGCGAATGAATGAATGAATGAATGAATGATCTAGTCTTTATTGTTCCATTGGGTCTCTCTAATGGCAGTGATATTATCTCTGTATGGACAATCCTGCTGGAGAAGGTTGGGCAGTTTAAAAAGGTTTAATGCCTTCAGATGGGAAATAAATTCTTCAGGAAGCACTGGAAATTTTTAAAAGATGAAATGGGAACCATTTTGCCTTTCAATTCCTTTCCTGAAATATTTTGAACCCAGTCATTCCAGGGCAATTTAGAAGCTGCAAATCAGAGGCTGTGGAGCAACTCAGTGGTTGTCAAATGTTCATCCCTGTTCTAAAGAATGATGCCGAAAAATCCCTGGCCTGAAGAACAGAAATTAAAAGTCATGGCTATAAATATGACCAAAAAGGAACAAGAAAGTTATAAAAGCACTCAAAAAAATATTTTACTGTACTGAGATGGATTGGATGCTAAAATCACTCAATCATAATGTATCATTTCTTGACCCAAAAAATGAACTCCCTGTGTGAAAATTCAGGTATTCTAGCAACAGTTGTATGCAAAAATAAGTAGTTACGTTTTAAATCAAGTTTGCATTGGAGAGTTATGCATTTTGAAAGTCTATATTGGAGAAATGTATATGTCAAACAATGAAAGGAGAATGATTTGCATTTGTTTTTATAAGCTTCTTGAACAATCAATGTTAACCCAAGAAAAATGTACACTCTCTGTTAAGAGATTTTGCACATGTAATTTTTTTCTAAACTCCAGAAGTAAAAACCCCACAAGGTTTGAACACTGCATAATAGCGTATAATGCTGTCAGTAAAGTGCACAGGATTTAAGCAACTTGTGAAAAACGAAATGGCTACTTCATTATTTAACAAGAACAGTAAAAGAAGAGATGGAGAGCGCAAAAAGATTTAATTCTTTACATCCAGACTTCATCCCCCCCAAAAAAGTTGGATCCATCAATCATTCTGCTTGAATAGCACAAATAAAGGCGATAAATGAACTAATTAAAAAATTCCCAATCTCCCGAGCCAGATGGTATGTATCCAAGAATACTGAACAGCTTAGTTGTTCAAGATTTACCATTTGATGTTACGCCCAGATTTTCCTGTAGAGTGGGTTTTTTTAAAAAAAAATCTTGCTGATTATCATAATTGTTTAAGTTGAAGCAGGGCGGATTGCAAACTCTCTGTGCGTGCATCCTCATACAATAATCACCGATCATAACATTTAACCAAAATATGTTGTTTAGACTGAAAACAAGGGGGAAAGTTTGAAACAAGATTTTAAATTCTATCTTTTTCCTTATACTGAAAGAATCACAGCTAAATTCAGGCTTAAATAACAAGAATCGTCATGGGAAGCTTCATGGTTTTACCCTAACAATGAATTTAGCTGCCTTTTAAATCACCTCTCTAGAAGTGCAATGATTTATTTCTGATGATGTTTCTGCTTGCCCAGTGTTTGGCTGGTCCTTTAAAAATCAGCCTTCCATTCAGCTAAACTGCTCCTGCTCCTGCAGCAGCCAAGCGCATCAGAGTCCCAGTCGTTCAATAAGGGCCCATAAAACATAATTAGCTTGCCCATGCTCTGAATGTGTCATTCTTTGGATGACAATATAATGGATTTATCCAGGCTTCACCTTCTTTGGGACCAAGTAAGCGGGCCCTTGAATCAATGCAATTCATTAGTTCTGGCAAGAACAAATGGGTGGGGCCCCCACAGATCATTAACAGCCATTCTGCCTTAAAGCGGAAAGCTAAATTTTACAACTGTGGGGTCTCAGAAAGCTTTTCCCTGTCAGGACTGGAACATGAACAGCACATGTTTGGGGATGCTCTGAGGAAAGCCAAGCAGCTCCCCCCACTCAATGACTCCTTTCTCCCAGGGTACCTTCTAGCTGTCATGCCACCCCCCCACCCACAAAAACAGATCAGCATAATAAATTAAGAGATCCACATTAACATTTTAAAGTCACAGCAGGAAGCAGGGCAACAATATATTTCACCACCCTTGTATCCATTTGCCCTTTGTTGGAAGGGAGGGCAGGCAGAATAATGGCCTCACCATTAAAAAGCACAAATACCATTATTACTTTCTTTGATAATTATTTTGTTTTCCAGCTGGTGAAATAATCTTAATTCAGGCAACTTGGCTGGAAGTGATTGCTGAGCACTTTAAATATTACACAGTTTTCTTAAAAACAACCATCCCTAACACCCATTGCTTCTCGAGTGGAGAATAAGTGTGCGGCTGGGATGGTTTGCACTTCCAAATGGTTTAGAATCTGCCAAAAAATATCATCATCCAATGCCAGTTCAGTCTAGTATGTACAGACGGCAGACTTTGGATACTTGATCTTCTGAGAGATTCCCCTGGAAACCAGCCAAGGGTGTGTAAAAAAAGCCAAAACCCCAGGATAATTAAAAGATTCAGCACATTCTTCAAGCCACACAGCAGCCTAGTGGCAACAAGATACTTGGGAAGGCAAAGGTTAGCTTTTGGGGAGTCAGAAATGTGTTCTGCAATATATGACTAAAGTGCTTTGAAATCTTTCAAGGTTCCAGGGAGATTGGCTGTGTTTAAAGAAAGTCAATGCTTTTCATTCAAAAAAAATCCCAGAGATTTTAGGGTGCCTGATTTTCTACACATATATTGAGGTTAAGTTTCTGTAGTGCTCAGCTAGATAGTGGAGGATCAGAAAAAATGATAGAGTAAAACCAGATATTATAATAAGTGCATGAAAACGTGTAGGGTGTGTAGTCCTCAACTTTCAACAGTTCATTCAATGACCATTCTAGGTTACCAGGACACTGAAAAAGGTACTTATTATGACCGTTTTTCACACAACCATTGCAGCATCCCTATCAAAATTCGGACACTCGGCAAACTGGTTCAGATTATGACGATTGCAGTGTCCTGGAGTCATTGTGATCACAAAAAGTGACACAAGCAAAGTCAATGGGGAAGCCAGATTCACATAACGACTCTGTGACTAGTTTGTAGTTTGTAGTTTTATTAGAATTTGTAGGCCGCCCTTTTCCCTGAGGGGACTCAGGGCGGCTCACATAAAACTGGGAATA